TGGACCAAACTACGGATGCCGAAGGAGATATGTCGAAAGTAAAAGAAGATTCCATAACGGGCACGGCAGTAATAAACCTAATTCCGAAACCTCCAACGCCACCACCTAAAAAAGATATAGACTCGGAATTAAGTGATTCGGATAATCAACATGTTACATTTGTTAGTGCAGTAAGAACGGTAGGCGAACCAACAGAATCTCAATTCACAGTTACAGAGCAAGTTGCAGAATTATCAAATACACTTGAAATGGATAATGGACCTCAGGACGTAGATACTGAAAAACTTGCACCAGTTTCTTCGACCACACGTTCTCAACGTAAAGAATTGAAGCATGTGCATTTTAGTGATGTTGAAAGCGAAATTCCATAAAATCTATCACTGAAAAGCTACGTTATCTTCAACTATATGCATATATTTAAAGTTTCCTGAAAGATATTATTTAACAGAATTGTAAAATACGATACATTTATATTAGTATTTTAACATTATTATTTATCTTGAACATAATTTATTTAATAATATTCAATGCCCTGTACATCTTTTATTATGATCTCAATATAAATAATATACGTGTCCTCATACAATGAGCATATAGAGACTTTACCAATTAATATTGTTACATGATAACTAAAGAACTTTACAAGTTAATATTGTTAATTTTTATATATAATGGCAAGAGGACTTGTGATTTCTTTATGGAGTGAACCACATTTAATTCTTTGAAGATCCAGAACTTCCTTCGCCTGCATTATCATTTTCATTAACTACGATGCCGTAAGCATCTGGAGGCAAAGTTCCAAATTTGGCAAAATGTACAGATGATTTGATTGGATCGAGAATCGGGTTTATCACATAATCATCACTAATGAATTTTGAAAAGTTTCAGTTTCAAAACGATTTGCTAAAAATAAATAGTACCGTATGTACTTGTACGTACGTACGTATGCTTACCATGCATAACACCAAATGGAAATATCCGAGAAAGAAATTGTTAATTTATGATCGGTTTGTTCATTATGCTCCTTCATATGTCCGTTAACATATCTGTAAAACGTAAAAGAATTTTTGATCGAATAAGGATAAATTCGGGTATAATGAATTTTCGAAATAATTGTCATTTACATGCCTACTGCAGAACACTTGTTGGCATTCTAAACACCTCCAATTTTCGTTATCATTCTTACAAATATTACAAGGCGCTTTAACTAAAAAAATATGTGTAATAATTATCCAAAAGGAAATTTCTCCTATACGTTTTATATTAAACTTGGCTAATTTACTAACCATCTACCGGAACTTGCGCCCAGGCATGAGCAAGTTCATTACTAAAGTGAGGACAATCAGTTTTCAACGCTACTGTATACATGTTTTATATTAAGTGTGGTTTGTAATCAAATCTGCAAGAAATTTATATCAGTCGGACATTTCCCTATTGCCAATTAGGGATGTTAATTAGCACACAATGAACGGGTCCGGACCGGGTCCAGAACTGAGTGTCAATTTTGATACATCGAACAAAATTTAATAAAAGTAAGTCATGAACAATACTTCTAATATTTCTTAAAATTCGTTAATTGAATGATTGATTTTGGTAATTATTCCTACAGTTACGTCATCTGTAATTCAAAATTATCTGCATTAAATCGCTAAGGCCGGTCTCAGACTGGTTTAGCATCCTTAATGCTAACGCTAATTATCACACTACTAGGAATAATATTTACTATAAAAAAAGCATAGGGATGTTAAGTGGTCCACGGTGAACTAGTTCGGACCGGACTTTTGAGAGACAGTTCAGGACTAGTCCGAAACTAGTCCTATAATTTTTTGATCTCAAGGTCTTTTAATTGTCGATCCAAATGTGATTATAATACTGGAACGAATTCAATACGATCCATGTACTCGTTCACTATTGTTCTATACATTAAACTGCTAGGATAAGACCGGGTTCATACAGGGGATATAAACTAGCTTTAACTAGTTATGGCTTTTTAAGGACTTAACCAGGACTGGACTCTAAAAAAACATGCTAATTACGTAAAGCTTGCGTAATGTAGCTAATTATTACGAACCATATAAAAAAAACTATTTGATC